CCAAGAACTGATCGTAGCCAGATTTGGGAGCTCTCTGGAGAGAGACAGACAGATCAAAGACAACACCTCTCTGAGCCCCAGTCCTTGCTCGTATATCATGAGTCAGAACCAGCCCAGCTGACCAGCTGGTGCCCAAGCTTGGCTCTTCCAGCATGGCATGGATGCTCAGAGTCTGCTGAACTAACAGCTTAGGAGCTGACACCATGAAGCTCCCCATATCTGAACCTGCTTTTCTCCTTGCTCTAGAGAGTTGCTCCCAGGGAGTTTTATTTTGTGGCTGCAGCAAGGAAGGACAGCTCAGGAAAGTGTCATTTGGCACACAGCAACACTGATCCTTCTTTACACTTCCAGTTACCAGAGCCGTACCTCTCCTACCTCTGCGGCACTTGCTGGCACTGCGGAGAAGCGGTGCTGACCCAGAGATCCATTCCTACAGATAGGCCCTGCACTTCCAGAGCAGATCAAAACATGAGCTGGTTCCCTTGAGAGATCCTTTCCCACATGCTGAGCTGCATTTCTCCCCCATCCAGCTCTATGTGAGGACACCAAGGTCATCAGGACAAAGATCTCCCTTTCCCATGAATCCGATGTGAACCTGGGGGCAGCCCAAGCACCTGATATTCACGCTCTGCAGGTGAGCCCTGGCTGATGCAGCAGAATCTGCATCCACAGGTTTCTGCTGAGGAGACATTAATCTCCTGAGAAAGAGCTGGTCTTCCACGCTAGTTCAGCAAAACCCAAACAATAACTTAAACAGTCATAGTATAGCACATCCCTCTGCCATCCATCCCTGCTCTCTGAGGCTCTTCGGGTATTGCTTAGCGGTTCCCAAGCATCCTCCTGGCTCTTGGCTCAATAAAATGGAGGTAAGTCTTAACCTAGGGTTCAGTCCTTGCAGCCCTTGGGCTGTTTTTCCATCTCCTCTCTGAGCTTGGTCCTACTGATCTATATCCTTCTCTTAAAAGGTGTCTCTATAGGACAAGAGAGTGAGGTCCCAGCACCTTTCACCATGCTGTTGCAGGGATATAAGGTACTGGAATACCCCAGAGCTCTCTTCCAAAAGCTTGTGTGGCTTTTGGGCTATGGACTGTTTGAACTCTGATCATATGTCTTTGGTAGGGGACTGGGCATGGAGGGGCAGAGTGGGTGTTTTTGTGGACACTTCACGATGCGTTGACTGCTAAAGACTTCCTTCCACACTCTGCAGATCACAAAGGTGATTTGCTGCCTTTGGCAGCTGTTGAGGTACCTAATTCCCAGTGAAGAAAAGAGGGACTGGGTTTTCTTACCACTGCTCCTATGTCTGTAAAACAGTTTGGCACTGCCGCCCATGAGAGCTGCATCACAGTCTGCAAGGGGACCAGTACTGAAGGAGTGGTGAGATTTATCTTTCTTAAATTCAGGCCTTTGGAGGCCTAAGTGTGACCATTGGCGTCACAGGAGGAGAGAATGGAGCCTCCAGAGATATGTCATTCCACCCTAAAATCAGCGCCCAAGCCAAATGATGGGGCTGGTCACAATTGCATCTTTGCAATGACTTAGACATGGAGTTCAGCCATCCAGCAAAGCCCCAACACCTCTGTGTTAGCGGACAGGCATTATTTGACAGAGATCTGTTGTAAATGCCTGTTGCGCATTGCTGGGACTTGTGGGAGGTGGGGTGACAGTCCAAGCAGGGCTGCTGTTTTTCTGTCCTTCTCGGTGTGTGGTGTCTCCTCCCAGTCTCTCATCACCAGCGAGCATCGCCAGCGTGCTCCCTCGCCAGTCCCCACCAGACCGGCTGTACCGGCCTGCCGCCAAGTCCCCACCAAAGCACAAAAGTGCATCAAAAGTCCAAGGCACGTTGCAGCTGGCTCTCCAGCAGCCAACGCCCTGGGCTAGTGGAGGGAGACCGGCCGAAGCCTGCATCCCCAGCCCTGGCCGCTCCTCCTCCGGTGGGTGCCAGACGGCCTTGGGCTGGGCGGCCGCCTGAGATCACCGCCTGACTTCACCGGGGCGGTGGTCCGGAGCAGTGACCCCAGGCCTGGGCATAGTGCCTGAGCCGGCTCCGCTGCCCACCACTGCGGGGCTGTGCATGGGGCTGGGGGTCGTTTGCCACTGCGCTGGGAGGGCTTGTGCCTGCGACCCGAACGTAAATGACCTCTTCTTTGTTAGGGCGGTGAAAGCTCCCTTCTGTCTGGGCTGATCCCGGCGGCCCCCGGGGAGCTCAGGAATGCTGCTGCTCAGTTGTGCTCTCCAGCTGCCAAAGGGCGCAAGATGAGATGACCCTCCTCGCTCTGCATCCCTTCCCTGCCTGCATTTTGAGAATGCAAACACAGCTGGCGCTGTGTCTGACCAGGAGGGAAGGATTTTTATTTTTCTGTCACGGTCACAGGTGCAAGTCCAGGCTGGGGAGGAACTTGCCTGCCCATCCCAGGAGGGTTTGACTTAGGTCAGGCACGTTCCCCCCTCTGGAGTGGGGACAAGCAGGGAGGGCACCTGGAAAATGGGAAATGGACAATGGGGGTTTTTACCAGCCAAGAACCTGAGCACAGATTTCCTATATAAGACCCAATCTGAAGAAGAATAGGTACATATCTAATGTGATTTGCAAGTGCAAAAGATGTTTTCAGGGACAGCACCGACGTTCCTCCTCTGCCAGCCACAGGGAGCCCAGGGAAGCTGCTTTATGTTGCCCGGCAGGAACCAGTACCATAAAGGATGGGGGATGAAGGAGAAATGGGAGGATCCCATCCCTCCAGCAGGTACAGGGAAGAAGAGAAGCATTGATTTCAGCAATCATTGCCTCTGCCTGTGTGTGTGTGAAGTCCAGCAAAAAGATGTATGCAGCTGGCATGGGGCTGGACAGATAAAGGAGCCACCAAAGATAGGAGTCTGCAGGTGTTTGTGCCAGGGAGCTGTTGTTATGGGTGAAGCTTGGAGGGAGTGTCCGATCTGGCTCTGATGAGCGCTTTGGGGTCCCGATCAATCGGAACTGCAGAAAAAATCCCTCCCTCTCTCCCCGAGCCTCTACTGGGAATTTTTTCCCTTTTCTGTCACCAGCCTTGGCTGCCTAGCTGTCTTATCGCAAAATGTTGTCCTTCCCTCCAAAAAGAAAGCCACGGTGTCAAGAGATCACCTAGACAGGTTTGGAAGTAAGCAGCTATGGGACAGAAGCTGGGGTCCTCCAAAGACAGCTGCCACCAGGGCCTAAAATCACAAGGAGCCCATTAGAAAGGCAGGGTGGGAAGGTCACTCATGAAGTCCCTCACCTGACACTGTTCCCTTCATGGGCATACTGGGAGGTTGCCCTTCATCCAGTGGAGAGCAGAGACGTTGTGTACTGTTGCACTGCACTGCTAAGTGGGAGACACTTGCTGCTCTATAACCAGCGATGTTGCAGCCCTGAGTAATGTAGCCTTGATTTCCATCTTGCAATGAGCACCTCTGTACAGAGATGCCTGAGTTTGGGGGCAAAGGAAGGACTGGGCAACTTCTCAAGGTCTCCACCAGTGAGCTGTCGTTCTGATGCTAAAGGTTTAACTGAGATCCCCATTAAGTCTTTCTCCAACACCTTCCTGTTTAAGTGGTGTATTATGTTAGTGCTCATGCTGTAAATAATAATAATCATTGTAATAATCAAGAGGGCTGTTTAGCAAGGTTGTGCTATGGTTGTGCTTGTCCTTAGGTGCACATAGCTTTTTTGTGGGTTTTTGAACAGGACAGCAAGTCCTCTAGCAGTGGGCTGTGGATGTAACGAGCATGGATCATTAGCAGCAGTGGTCAATAGATACTTTTCCTACCTTCCTGCCAGAAACCGATGAAAATTTGTTAGGAAAATTCAAGTCTTCTAGCCACTGGGAAAAAGCTCGCTGCTCTGCTCTGTAATGTCAGCAGGCAGGAAGGCGGTGTTCCCACCCTCCCCACACCCACGTGTGAACACACACCCCCCCGTGAGACCTCACACGTGTCCAAAACATCTGAAACACAGGAGTACCCAGGCAGGAAGGTGCATGGGCTGCTCTGGGTGGTATCTGTTGAGGAGAGCAGGCAGCCAGACAGGAGCAATTTGTGGCTTCCCAGAAACTCTGCCTGGTATTTTGCTACTCCCTGTCCCTTCTGTAGGGGAAGGGTGAAAGGGTTCGAAATGGCTCCTGCAAGGGAGCTCCCTCTGGCCAGCCCAGAGTGGAGAGAGGGCACTACGCCCTCAGCCCTGGGGCAGAGGACAGCCCATGCTCTGCTATGGGTATTTTCTGCCCCCCAGAGCTCATGGGAACCTGCATGGATTTGGACATCAGCAGCACAGTCCTTCTGGCCTGACCTGTGTCAGGAGCATCTCCAGATGCTCACCCTTCTTTCCCTGGGTCCTCCATGGGTACTGCAGCATCACACAAAGCCATGGGGTGGCTCTGAGTTGAGTTCAGTCTCCTGCCTTGGCTATAGGGTCAACATCCCCTTGAGGTGTCTACAGCCCAGGTCTCACCTCCAGGCTAGCCCCGCATCCTCACCTTGGCCAGCAATGTCATTCTTCTGTGTGGCCAGCAAACCTGGGACCTCCGCTGGGAGGTCACTTCCTCTTGAGGAGTGGGAGAAGAGGTGAAGATGTGAGAGCCACCCACCTCCTGCTTCCCACTGTCCCCAGCTGGGGACACGGTGAGTGGGGCCTTCCTGCATGTACTTTGTGCCCATAGCTGAAATATGGAGATGTAGCACGCTCTGCCTCTGCAAACAATTGCCTGACTGAAACCCAGTCCCCGGGTTGGCAAGGTGGATGGGAGTAGGTGTGAAGGGGCTGTACAGCGGATCAGATCCTGACAGCGAAGGAGGAGGAACTCCTGCCTCCCTCCAGAGTCTCAGACAGGTACAGTTAGGGCTTCTTTGGGGAAACTGGGTGTTGCTCCTGCTGGTGTCTGCTGGGAGCAGGGGCACAGCGAGGCCAATGCTGCTGCCACAAGCCAGCCTGGGGTGGCAGACAGAGGTTAACAGATGAGCTGGTGGGTGAGGATGGGCAGGCATGTGCAATGGCTCTGGAGATGCTGGCGTGGGTGTCTGGTCCTGGCTGCAGTGGGCGGCTGCAGGGGGATGTGGATGAGCCAGCCATGAAGCGAAGGGGGGGACTGCGTGGGTGCTGTCTGCCCCGGCTCTTCCTTTCCCCCTCCTGTTGGCATCGAGAAGGTCTCTCACCAGCTGCCCAGAGCTTGTCAGGAGTTTGTGTGTCAGAGACCTCTGCCCTTCAGTTTGTCAAAATTGGCTTGTTAGTATCAAATTAGGGAACAGATAATCAGTTTCATGAGCAGGGACTGCTTCAGCCTTGTTGCTGAAGGAACTTAGGCTGTAAGAAAACATCAGATGGTGGAGGAAAGAGATCCCTCCAAGGCATCCATGGGGTTCTCACTGGGAAACAAAGACCCAAACTAGACGCCACTGCAGAGCAGCAGACAGAGAAGTCCCACCACAGCCATCCCTTGTCATATCCCTCCTTGAGGGTGGACCCATGTGTGCCAGGGAGGGTGAAGGGGATCAGTTCCAGGTGCTTTTTTGGCCCTGCAGGGAGCACTGGACTCGAGCTGGGAGCTGGGCAGCTTTCGATGCAGACCAGCCCTCAGCTCCCTCTGCAGAGAGCTGGGCTCCTGTGGCTCCCATCTCCCCTTGCCAAAAGGGCTCCACATCAATCCCCAGCTCACTCTGGCTTGCTGGCAGTACGCAGGAAGCAGAGAAATAAGGTGTTTGCAGACGCTGAATCTGCTGACCGTATTAGCAGGCTTAGCTGCTGCAAACACCCATCGCACCGCAAGTCCTGGGGACTGGACACCCTGTGCTGTTTTTCTGACTGAATCCTCACTGCCTTGTCCCATTTGTTTGTTATTTTAGGTTTATCCAGGTACCTGTGCCTCTCTTATTTGTTATTGCAGAGGTAATGAGCTGTGTCCATCTTGTGTTATTGCAGGGTTGCCTGCACCGATGTGAATCTTCCCCTCCCCTTAATTACCGTAGGGCAGCCCAGGGAGATGCCGTGTTCCTGCCTTGTCCAGCCCTGGCAGAGGGTGCCGGAGGGGATTCCTGGGACAGATCACAGCCTGATTCATTGCTGTGGAAGGGCTTAGTCACTGCTGGTATCTCCACTCTCCTTTCAGACCTTGGATTCCCACATCTTTGTGGCAAAGGATGTGCTTCTGCTGCACCTTGTACAGTGTCATTTCCTGGGGGACAAGATCATTCCCAGTTTAATGAATCTCTTCCCTATCCCTTGTCCATCATCCCCTTATAACAGAGGACCCCCCAACCTGGCGGGGCCTTTGAGTCCTGCAGCAAGAAAAAAAAACCCAAGCATATGAGCATCATGGGGCAAAATGGCAAGAGGATCCCATCCTGGGGACATGTACGAATCCTGGGGATGGTGCATGGGATCACTTATGTTGCTGTGGGCAGGTAGGAGGGTGCTGAGTCTAGGATGCTGATCCAACGCTGTTCTTGTGGAAAGAGAAAAAAAAAATCTGTTTTAATAAAAAAGTGGCCATGCGAGACTTTCCAGTTTTGCTGGGAGAGGGCAGGCTTGCCTGGGCAAGGAGGAAGAGGAGACCAGTAGCCATGGCAGGCTTGGGGTCCTGGCAACCAGTCTGTCCCCTCAGTCACCTCCAAGACCCCCCCGCTGGGTTGTGTGTGACAGGCCGGTGCTGCCATCTGATGCTGAGCAGCACGCCTGTCCCCCCTCTCGGGGCATGCCCTGGACACCCCTGGGCAGCCTGGTGGGGCAGAGGCATCCTCCTCCCCTGCGGGGCTGCGTCTGGACTCCAGGGAGCCATCGGTCTACAGGGAGACTCCTGTTTGCCTTGTTGCAGGGTGGGTGTATTGGCTTTTATTATCATCCTGAGCCTTTTTCTTTTGTCCCAACAGTGGTGTTGTAAGGAGGGGCAAAATTGGTGCCCTGCTGTCTTCACTGTAGGGTTGCAGGAGGGGGTAAGCCAGGTTCACTGACATCGAAGTCACGGGAGGCACCGTGCAGGGAGGGATTTCAGCCACTCTGGTGCTTGCCCTTCCACCACAGTGGGTTTCCCTGTGCTTACCCGCCGGCCTCAGCACAAACCTGGCATCAGCACAGGGCTGCTGGGAACCAGGCACTGGAAGACCAGGAAACTCAGGAGCTTTAAACTCTATTCAAATTTAGTCCAAAAATAACCCTTTTTCACTCTGGTGGCTGTACTAAATGTCACAAGTCATCTAAGTTTAGACTTTCACCAGCTCGCTCCTATATATAACTGCACAGGGCTCCTGACTGCATCGTGCTGGCACGGGTCACGCTGGAATGGTCAGGGGGTTCTACAGGAAGGTGACTGCCATGGACAGAGCCTAAACGCACTCCTCCCTTGCTGTGGGTACCATCAGTGGCAGCTATGGTCAGGCAGCACCGCTTGGCAGCATAACCCCAGGCTTTGCCGGCTATCGCAGGGGCTGGTTCGGTCCTGTGAGCACGGGACTGCGAGCTGAGGACCCTGGAGATCCCAGCACTTGTCAGCCACGTCTTCAGCATCGCTGCTGAACTGTCTGCCCAACTGCTTGGTGACTTTGCTGTCTGATAGACCTTGACTTTGGGGTTGTCTCACCTTTGAGTATCCCTGGCTTTTGCTCTTGCACCTGCAAGGTGGCATGAGGTGTTAATTTGTCACTTAATCCTCTCACCATGGCTAAAGAGGGGATTCTCTGCCACACTTTGCATGTCATCTGTTCCTTTCTGGGTGTGGGATAACATTCCCACCAGTCTTTTTCCACTGACACACTGCAAATGATGACAGCCTTGTATGTACGAGCCCATCCTAGACCCCCAACTCCTCCTGCCCTCAGACACCTTCCTGTCCTGAGCTCGGGGTCACACGAAAGCCACACCAAGTCCCACACAGTGAGGTAAAGCCAGGGATGTAGGCAACAGCTGTGAAAAGGATTTCTTTGGTCATTTGTTCCTGCTTAGTGCAAAGATGTCCTCTGCGGTCGGGCAGGAGGCTCTCTGTGCAAAAGCAAGCACCAGTCAGCTCATGGAGACCTGACAGTTTGGTACCCCTTCTCTTCCAGAACGGGAGTCCCGAGAGCATGAGGAGCCGACCACATCAGAGATGACAGAGGAGACTTACCCGCCCAAGGCCTACCGGCCCAAGCACGGCCGCCTTTCCGAGCTCAAGGCGGAGGCCCTGAAGAAGGACCGCCGGAAGAAGCTGACCCTGGCCAAGTTCGTGGGCATGGCCGAGAACACGGCGCACCCCCGCGTTGTCATCCCCGAGCTCCGGCAAGAATTTGAGCTGGTGGGTGCCTTTGCCTTCCCTCCACGGGGCTCCCACAGGCAGGGGGCTGTGGAAGGACTTTGCCTCCCTGGGGAACAGATGCCGGTGCGGGAGGGACAGGGGACCTGGGAGCATTTGCAGCTGGAGACTTGCTGTCAGGTGCTCCCCTTCTCACATTCCATCTTCTCCCCACTTGCAGGGCCCCTGCCGCAGGCACATGGAAGCATCCCTGCAGGAGCTCAAGAGCAGCCAGCGCATGGTCCCCCGTGCTGTCCACCTCCCCAACTGCGACCGAAAGGGCTTCTACAAGAGGAAGCAGGTAAGAGCCCCATGGAGGGGAACTCCCACCCTGGGGGGCTTTTCTCTGCCACTGCCCTGGATGGAAAGGATGGAGGTTTTCCTCTGCTGGGCTGGTGGGAAGGTTGCTGTGAGCATCTCCAGGCATGTTCAGTGGTGGGTGGCCTTGCTGATGGCTCCAAGCGCCATCCAGCCTGAAGCAAGCATCCTGAAGGAGCTGGTGAGGGAGGAGGAAAAGTCGGAGAGCTCCAGGCTGGGATAGCAGTGGGGCTGGAGATGTGCTGAAAACACAGAGCAGCAGTTAGGTCCTACCCAGGGGATTGCATCGCTGGGGTGAAAGGGGCAAAGTGCAGGACTGATCCTGATCCCCAGAGCAAGGGAGCCACGTGGCATTTGGTGGCCAGCTCCTGATCTTTGCCCTTGGGTGTCTCCCCAGTGCAAGCCCTCCCGAGGTCGGAAGCGTGGGTTGTGTTGGTGTGTGGACAAATACGGAATGAAGCTGCCGGGGACTGACTACCTGAGTGGGGACCTGCAGTGCCACGCGTTCGACAGCAGCAACGTGGAGTGAAGTTGCATCCCCTCCCTCCACCCCATCACTACCTACCCAGGCTCCCTTCCACCCTCCCCTCTGCACCTCCCCGCGCCCCGGGACTCCGATTCCTTTCATCTCATGTAAGAAGAAAAAAAGAAAGGAAAAGAAAAAATAGAAAGGAAGAAAAAGAAAAAAGAGGAAGGAAAAGGAAAAAAAAAGGGAAAGAAAGAAGAGAAGTAAAGAAAGGAAAAGCAGAAAGAGAGAAAAGAGAGGAAAAAGAAAAGAAAAAGAAAAGAAAAGAGAAAAAGAGAAAAGAGAAAAGAGAAAAACAAACCCTGAAGAAACTGAGGACTCGGAATCTACAGCAGCCTCTTGACAACAAGGACTCAGCAAGGAAAGGACAGAGCCAGAGACAAACCAGCCGCGGCCGCTCCGCCTTCCCACGCCTCTCCCCAATGCTGCCCGCGACCCCCTGCCACGAGCAGAGGCCACCCCGATGTAGGAAGTTCTCCAAGTTGGTGATTTTCCAGTACGGGCTTTGGGCAGGTTAATTTTGTTTTCTTTTTTAGGTTAGCTAGTTGTTTTCTAAAGCATCTCGAGAAAAAGCCTTGTGGCCACCAGCGCTCTCCCTCCTCACTGCAGTCCTCCAGAGTCTCCTCCTCACATTTCTGGGACTCAGTTGAGTTGATTGATTTCTATCTCAAATGACCGCCCTGGATCCAGGCAGATTTTGACATCTCAGGAGGAGGCATAGGGCTGCTGGTTTCATATCTGGAGATGAGCTGGGGAGGGAAACACAGCTCCTGCAATGGCATGAATACCGCCCCAAAAATATTTGTGGACTTCAAAAAGAAATCATCCAAAAAGGAAAGATATCCTTCTCCATCCAGTTACTCTCGAACAGGAGATCAGAAATCTTTTTGGACAAACAGGACGCTGACCATTGTCCATCCAGGTGTGGAAGCATTTGTCGCCTGCATGCATGTGTGTGCATGGACGTGGCTTTCCCTCCTTGCAAAATTTCACCTTGAAACCTGCAGTCTGGAGGGCTTAACTGTAAGCATGGGGAGAGATGCTGCCCCCTCCCAAAAAATAATAATAACCTACTGCACTAAGCATGGGAGCAGAGTTAAGGAGGAGCATCAGTGCCTGCAGGATCAAGGCCTCGGCAACACCGAGGGCTTGCATCCAAGCCAACCCCGCAGATATTCTATCGCTGTCCAGACTGAAGCATCCTTACGTGGAGACAGGGGCATCGGGGCCAAAACTCTTCACCACCCTTCGCCACCACCACGAGGAAGACCAACTATGGAGATTTTTTTTTCTTTCTTTCCACAGCCCAAAAAGTGCTTTGCTCCACAGGGGAAAAAAAAAACCAACAAACCTACACTTTGTTTTGTCCTGGCTTTTCATTAAGGCTGGTTTATAGCCTTTCCCGTGGGTAGGAAAATGCCAGTCTCCATCCTTTCACATTGAGGATACTGCTCATGTTGCCACGGCTGATTCCCGCCACCCTGCAGTAGGATCCTGCGATGGGCTCTCGCCTTTAACCTGGGACCCAGCTCCTTGTTGAGTGACAGCAGCCACCACACCACGGAGACCCACTGCCTCAGGCGTGCTGGGAGAGCCCTCGGCTGCCTTCCTGACTCTTTTGTTGTTTTTAATTTTTCCATTTGATTTTGGGACTGTTGGCGCTCACTTCCCCATGACAAGGGTCTCCACGACGTTGGCGCTGGGAGGAGATCCTTCAGCGAAGGGAAGGAAGGAAAGGAAAGCGAGCCATGGGGTCTGGGTGCTGTGATCCCAGTGGGCAAACATGCACCCACTGGGGATGACATCCCACTGCCATGGCTGCAGCTGGCAGCTGGCACTGGCCAAGGGACACAGCTGATCTCTGGGGGAAGGTTTCTCCACCCCCAAAGCACCTTTGAGCATCCCAGACCCAGGCAGAGAGGAAAGGAGATCCGCAGTGCCACTGGGTCCCCGTGAGTGGGGTTGGGACAAGGGGGATTCAACTCCAAGTGGGTCTGGTGGAGACTCCTCTCCATCACCAGTCGGGTGCCCTCATAGCCTCCCACAACATGGCATCACTGCCCCGAGGACACCGCAGGCCCCCCACCAGGACACTTGCCCTCATCAAGGGCAGGACTGGATGCCCCACAGTTATTTTCCTTGGAGTTGTGGCGGGGGCGAGTTTTGCTGATGGACTTCCATGGAGATCCAGTGGGGCATGTTTGGAGCTGGAGACAAGGCATCTTCCCCTGCTGAAAAGAAGGGAGAATGCCACCAAATGCAGATCTGCCCCCCCAAAAAACTTGTGGGAGCAGGGTGACCCCTGTGTTGCTGGAGGGGAGCATGGCAGGTGCTGGGGCCAAGGGAGGGACAACTCCAGGCTCTGCAGGGCTGATGGAGCAGGGTTGGTTTGACCAGGGTGGTAGGTTAATGGTGGGGTGAAGATGGGGTGAAGAATGGGGTGAAGACAGCAGGAGGAGGAGGAGCTCGTGATGATCCCAAGGGCCACTGGTCGTCATCATCAATGCCGTCCTGGTCTCCTCTGCTCACCGATCCCCATGCAAAACCTCCTGACTGTTATAGGCCAGTACCACCTTCCCCAGGACCCTTCCCTCCTTCCCTCTCCCTCTTTCTTGCTTTTTTGTTCGTTCGTTCGTTCGTTTGTTTTGTTGTTTAATTTCCCAAAACTTGAAAGCCTTTGGCTGCAGAGAAAGGAGACGTGCCAGCAGGGCGGGATGGGAGTGGGCAGAGGGATGGCAGCTCCCCATGGACCTTGCCTTTCGGGGCTGTTGCTTTTGCAGGGTGAGGGCCAGCTCACGGGGCCCAGTGGTGGTCTCATGCAATGGCCACCATGGTGACACTGGGAGGGTGCCTCTCTGATCTCTCCCTATAAAGCGAGTCTCAGCCATGGCCCTGGGAACCTAGAGCACCAAAATCCATCCTGCACAGCCTCCCTCCCCCCCTCACATCCAGTGCTGGGATGGCACTGCCTGTCCTGTCCCCACCAGCCTGGGGGAGGAGGATGCAAGGAGGGGGTTGCACCACCCTCACCCCCCCAAAACACCTCAGCTCCCAGGACGGGGCACCGAGCAACCCCCCGGCTGCCCACTCCCTCAAGGATCCCCGGCAGGACGAGGCTATTTGCAGGCTGCACTAATATTTAGGACCGGGGTTGGAGTCTGGGTCAGGCTGGGGATGAGAGCGGCTTTGGGAGGGGTTGGCCACCCCCTGGGGTGGCAGTGACGAGGTGCTCCTGTTCTCGGCACCCAGCAGCACCCCTTTGCATTTAGGGTGAGAAAACCAAAAGGAGCAGATTTGTGAGCTGGGGAGGGCGGGGGTCAAGGCACACGGGGAGATGCTGGCAAATTGATTTATCAGGGGGAGGTGTGAGGCTCAGGGGGCTCTGGCCACGGTATCTACACCG